CTTCCACCAACCGTCAGAATTGTATTACTGACAACATTTGAACTGTGTCATTCTCATCAATCTCTGAAATGTGTAATTGCCTGCGTGGTGTACCATGTTATTTAATCTTGCAACAGCAATCATCGGAATTACATCACCCAACGTGTGAGCTGACAATTGTATTGTTGCAACAACTATGTTCGTGCTCTTTCTACAGGCAGCCTGCCTTTGATGTTCTCAGTGAAATAGTGACTGTGAACAAGCTTTTAACGAGAACACGTAATCCTACAGTTCACACGCTTGCACTATCGGCACGGCAGGTCTGCCAACCTGCCTTTCAACTTCGCTGGTAACAACGTTCCCTCATCTTGTGCTCTCTGGGCGTCTGCCTGCAAGGTCACCGTATGCCAGATGTTCCAGACGACACACGTAAAACTGTGTATTCTCGCTTTCAACACTACATGTTTATTTTATGTAATTTCCTACAATTGTATTTAACTGTTATTTACATGTTTATCAATCATGGCAGTCATTGCCAATATTTAATATCATTATTACATTTAGTCAAATACGCTTCTATGCAGCATATTGAACTCATCTTCTGTGTGTAACTTTTTTTATTTATTTACCTCAAAAACAGTTAAAAAGCGTCTGACGTGCTATAGGGAGAAGTTAATTTGAAGTTACATTTATGTCCAGAAGCAAAACAAGGGGCCATCTGAGCACTTGCTCAAGGATTAGGAAAACTGGACGAAAAAGTGATGAAGATGGGGTAATTGACCCAAAAGCTGAAGTACAAAACTTGTTACAGGTTCTTTAGAATTATTCAATCCAAATTGTAAAAATCTTTAGTTTCATTACACATCTTAATTCACATATCTTTTGTTTAATTCTGTGTGATGGTGGCTATTTCCCAATCGACTAGCTTTGCATCTAGAAACAGGTTCCATGGGCGTTAATCCATGGTGTTCCTTCAGAGTTATGAAAGGAGAGATGGAGAATTAGTATGAAATTAAATTTAACACCTCGCGACCTACAGTCCGCTACCACCTCTGTTAGAAAGTAACAACGCTTCCGGTAAGGGAGAATTTATTCCCCATAAAAGCTGCTTGTACTGGTTCGAAACAAGCAAGGGCAATTTTTCCAATCTTAGTATTGGCTCAGTGGATCAAGAAAAAAATGAACAAAAACATTCCCATGAAGATGGTGGTCATTGACATTGTCTCTCTGTGTTATACTGGCACAACAGCTCCTGTCGGGGCCAAGGACTACCAGCGGTATCTCGCTCTTGCGCCCATGAGTTAAGGGGTATGTATTCTGGTCTCCTCAACCTGAGAAGTCAGATTTCTCATCGTCACACAGCAACATATACTGGGACATTGCAAGGAAAACGCACACTATAATCTGTCCCGACCGGGAATCGAACCCGAGATTGCATCATGGAAAGAGAACACACTGGCCAGTGAGATACCCGTGGGGTGGCCATTGACGTAGCAGCTGTTTTTAATACCTGACAAAGTATTTTCGGCCTTTTATCATGCGTTACGTCGTAAAATTAGTAGTAAATTGGTAACATTGTTATAAAACAAATATTAATTTTATTTTCAATAGTATTGTCTTTTTTATATTCATCACTTAATTCATACTTTAAACAAAAACATGATTTTTTTCTACTGCAGTTGACTTATGACTTCCTAACACTAGTGATACCACCCCTTTGAAAGTGTTTTAGTCTTCCAAGAATTCACGTCCTCATAAAAAGCGCCATTCTTTCTACGTGCAGAAGGAATTCAATTATGAATGTACCACACAAGCTGCTACTCTCCGCTCGGTCTTTTGTATCTCTACATCTCACACAACGCTCGCCTCGCCAGAAGGAGGGTGTCCGACTCGCCTGCGTGGCCAGTGCGAATAAATGGGCGTTGCCACCCGGCTCCCAGTGGCGAAATTCCTTCTCTCATTAATCAAAAAGTCGTTAGTTTCAAGGCCGAATTCAAAGTTCGTTCAGAACAATGCAAAGCATTTGTCAGTTTTTGCCTGCGAGTACTTCCCGAAGCATATAGAACGTTTTGTTAAATATGCATGTCCATGGAAAACGGTGGGCGAGGGGGTTGTAGAGAAATGTATGCTACACATTTAGTTCATAATAGCTTTTCTCTGTCCGTAGTGCGCTTTTCAAGATAATTGACTTTCATTAAGGAAAGCATTCATTTGGAATGGAGGCACGCACGAAAGCTCCCTGCATTAGAATGCGCATGTTTCTACTTTCGGATGCCCCTCATTACGACAAGAAAAGGGCGCCTAATGCGTTGGCCACGGTCATCTTAGAGCGATGTATCACAACTGAGGGCAGATCTTCGCAAAAGGATAAGACTAGGCTGGGAGGACGCAAGGTTACCAGATTTTCGGGCGGGGCAGTCCTAGTCATAGTGTTGAATTTCCGCAAAAAGAAAACTAGGCAGACTCCAGAGATGTGAGGTTTCTCTATTTTCAATAGAAACCTAGGAAATAAAAAAATTAAAAATATCGACTTTGACTGAAAAATGGAAATTTTCTATGACTGAAAAATTGAAATGCATTGTGTTCTTTTGCATATTATAATACTGCGCGTATTGATTGAATTATCATGCTCAGTGCGTCACTGCGTACAACACAGTCAGCGTCATACGTTGCTTAAGGGCAGGCTTCCACCATTAAATAGAATTTGCAATTTTATTGTTGCATTATGGAATTATATTTGCATTGTCCGTATTCCTTTTAATAAAATTATCACAGTATTATTTACGTGTAAGATTTTGGTAAATCATTTTCGTTTTCAAAAAATGTTGTTAACTTAAAATACCTTCAATTTTAACTATTTAATTGTTATACATGTAAGAGTATATTTAAATGATTTGTGTTGTCATCTTGACCAACATTATTATTTTATTCAATTAGGGAGATATGTGCAAGGAGATAACCAACTGCGAAAATAATATATTCAGACTTTTAAGCACATTTTGTCTCATTAACGGCATTCTTATTTCCGATACTGCAATAAGCTTGGTCAAAAAACATTTAAATTAAGTCATGTAAGCAATGAACATATGAATTGCTTTTCAGTAGCCTTTGTTATTAACTAATAAGTAATGTAATGTGAATATTGTTGCAACTAATAAACATTGGTTTACAAAGAAACCAAAAACACGGAAATAAACAAATTTTACTGTGTTATTTCCCAAGTTTTTGACTGCAATGAACTCTTTTTGTGTCTCTTGGTGCGAATTTAAATTGTTTCAGGTGCCGTGCAAGAAATGTTGCCAGACGGTTGGAAGTTAAAACAAGTTCGTTCTTTCGCAATTCTCTGACTTGTTGGTTCTATGCGTCGCACATTACACAATCTGCAATGATAACCTTCGTTGCGGAGGACTTTCCAAGCTGTATTCTTTCAAACTCCCAAACAATCAGAAAATCGCATTGCACTTGTGGGTGGATTTTCTTCATTGTCTTCCAAACGGAGAAAGATCACGTTCGGAGATCAGACGAACCTGTTTTTCTTATTTTCTCTGTGAGGCAGTGTACGTTAAGACGTAGAAGTACGAACACAAGCATTTAAATTAAAATTTGATTTACGATCATCTTCATTATGTTAAGGAGAAATATAACTTCATTAGCTGTAAATAAGTTGCTTCAATATTGCAAGCAATCATGATGCATTCTTTTTCCACTGTAACAGTTTCTTAAACTATAGTAATGTAGACACACGCGTTAATAATAATGAAATATAGGCGTTGTGTATACCGTTATGAATTATAGCCAAAATATATGGCCGTAGAATAAAGTTGGATTTTCACTAAAGACCATGTGTTTGCTATTGTATTTTTTAATACGCCGTGCGCGAAACGCTGTTTCTCGTGCTTGTTTCCCGTGTGCGAAACATCTTCTTTTTTTCACAGTGTGCGAAACGTCACGAAGCGTGTGCAGAACATCGCGAAGCTTATGCGAAACATCTGCGACGATTCACAATTGTCTTTAATCTTGACGACGTCTTTGTGTATTATTTACAAGCATTAGTGTTACGACACTGACTGGAATCCATCGCCACTACGCGCGGACAGCAAACTTGACTCGTGCGTGAATCACCTGTTTCGCGCCCTTATGACGTTAAACTACTATTATAAAATACTATATTCTATAAAAAATTATTTTCTACTGTAAAAGTGTAGTCTTGTTTCTTACATCTTTCTTCAACAAAGGCGCTCTTCGGAAAACACCCCCGTTTTACTTCCACGTTTCACAATTTTAATCGTGCGATAATGGCTAAAGGAAGAAGAATCTTTCTAATCTGGTCACGTGAGAGTTATTAATGGTATCTTTCTATACCCAGTGAGACTGGGACAATATAAAAGCACACATAGTTTTGATTTCGAATGAAAAATGCAAATTTTTGAGTATGTTAATCCGCAGTAAGTTATGTCATGACTGTATTCTCATACTCACTGCGTCACTAATAAAGACCCAGCTGGCGTCATACACCAAGGAAGAAAGAATTCATTTCTGTTTCAGAAACACATTTTTATATGAGTTTTTTTTTGTTCAGAAAGACTTGGGAAGTAAAATTTTCAAGTGTTGATGTATGTTTACTAAATTCCTGGATATAATAATTCAATAAGGTTGTTTATGTTATTCACGAACTTGGGCATCTTAATTGCAACTAAACATTTTGCAATTTTTATTTCAAACACGATGAAAGTGAAAACTTTCTAATATCAAAAAGCTGCTATGAGCAAAGAGCTCAGATTTTTAACTAACGTTCTTAAATTGGTGCTAATATCATTTTGTGATATTTTATGTCTTTTGAATATTTGTTTGAGTTTTGAATTCACTCTGTGGTTTTCATTCATATTCTATATTTATTGTGTTTGAAATACGTATCTGGCGAAGTGCTGCACTATTGCGAACTAATTAAGAGCAGATGTGCTCTATGATTCGGCGTTCTAATATCACGACATAACTCACACATTTCTTTTCTTTTTCCACAGTTCCTGTTGTGGAGGTGCAAGGTGTTCTGGGCAAATTGACATTGCTCCCTTGCGATATCGTGCCCACAAACGAAGAAGATGCAGTGCACATGGTGTTGTGGTTCAAAGAGGCCGATGGTGAGCCGTTATATAGGTGAGTTGAGATTTTTAACTAATTACCGTTTTGTACATTCACCATTTTATATTTTTTGAAATCGTGATTTGAATGTTTTCCAACCATAAATATTTTGTGTTCAAAAAATGTGTATGCACCTCTACTGAAAAGTAATGTTTTTTTAACTTTTCGAAAGAGCGGAAAAATATTTACTTTTCAGTCTTTATATATTAACACCTATATTTTAGTTTCTGTTCTTTGGTGTTTATATAGATATTTTCCAGCCATGCGTCTTTCAATCTACATTTCAACCAGTAATTTATTTACGTGTCTATGGCACTACTATCGGCCATGGAATAGGTGTATTGACAAAAAACAATTATTAATGACCAATTGTTGTGTGCGAATAAATAGTTAAGAATTAAGCTCCGAGGTACTATTGAATTTTGAGTTTCTTATACCTGCTAAAAATCTAGAAATGGCATCTTGGCATCTGGTAATATTACCCTAGGTATTCAAAAGTAAACTATATGTTCATCTCCTTTCCGTTCATCATATGAAATATTTCAGCTCAATCAGATATTTTCAGACTTAGTCATTTACCTCCGAAATATGTTTGACCATAACTGTGCCTCAGTAACTTTTGCGCGGAAATGTAGAAAAATGAAATCTGCGGGAGAGAGAAATCGTTTATATTTACTGCCGAAACAAATATGAAAAGCAGGCTGCTTATGAAACCCGGATATTGTTTTAATAAACCACTGGAGAGTGTGATGGACATGAATCAAACAATAACCCTTCGAATACATTAATACGAGGAAATACATGAATAACTCATAAGTAATGATTTGTTGCCGACGACTTTATGAATAAAAGAATGCGGAAACGTAAACAGCGTATCCAGTGACCGAGAAGACAAATTACTATAATTGCGAGTAAAGAAGGACGCAACAAAGGATTACGAACGCGAACGGACTAAAAGAATGACGAAATAAATGGGTGAACATTTTTGACGCCCGCGTCTGTGGGGAAAGGAATCGCATGAAAAAATAATCACATTAACGAGGGAGTAAAGGCGAATATAACCGCTTTACGGTGCGTATAATAGAATAAGTCATAAACACGCCCTGTTGCGAACGACTGCTTCAGGGGTAGGCATAGGCCTCCGTGGTCGCCAGCTGTTGATGATGACCTTACTTAAGCATAAGACAGCCCCGGGGCGGAACCGAAAGACGTGTATATCTCTACCCTTTCTCAGATTTTCGCTTTCTTTGGTGTTAGGGAAACAACAGGTGCTCATTACCCATAATAACGAACTTCTCAGAGCTCATTTAATGATAGGCGGTCATCTGCCAAACTGTGTCGAGAGAGCCAAGAAAATCCATTAAGTGGTATCTGCCACACACGAGCGATTATGTGAGGATATTGAGTTTCTGAGTGCATTACTGCTACGTGCAACATGCCATTACTTTTGTTAGTGCAGTGCATGTTATAACAGGGAGGTACCAAGTTTCCTCCCTGCTGGATTGTGAGATCCAGCACTGACCTAAATGTCTATATGTCGGCTTGCGTATTTCCCCCTCCATTTGCTTCTGGAGCTCAAGACAACGTGCGTACTTCTTTCCTATTCGTCTTGTCGTTTGACTGTCATTTGACGGAAAAAAATCAAACCAAAGATCTCACCAACCGGGCTCCGCCCCAGGTATGCTCTATACTCTAGACTGGTGTCCCGATTTGTATAGTGCTTGTAGTGCATGTGTGTGTGGTGGGGGTGCGTGTAAGCGTGGAGGAGAGACCTGGTATAGATCACAGAAAAATACAGATCAGACCTGCCAGCCGCTACACTTGTTCCCCATGAGCGGCTGATGTAGCTTTTCAGGTAGCGTAGATTTCGAGTCCCACCGCAGTCGGTACTCGAACTCTAGGACCTCCGAGCCAGAGGTGCTGCTGAGGCTACAGTTGCTGCACTGAGTCATATTAGCCGATATATCCTCTGTCTAGAAATCAGTGATAGCAAATACTCAGAACAACGCAATAATTGTTTTAAATTGTAAATTATTAATATTTACATTTATTTAATTATTGCAAAAAAGTATTAAATATTACTAATCCTTTTCCTCGGCATAACCTTGAACGTTAATGAAAAATTTATGAAACAAAATGTAATATGTTTTCAACATTGCTTCATGATTTTGCCCATTGGAGAAGCACATTCGTGTTCGAAATAATATTGCATCTGAAAGAAAGAAATCCATTGGACAAATTTTCAATAGTACTGCGTATTAGTTTTTAGATTACAATAGCAGTTGTAATTGAAAAAACTGAGTTAATTGCATAGAACTTTCATTAATTTGAAAGCAATGCTCTTTGAACTTTCATCTATTTTACAAATGCTTCATTTATAGAAGAAACAAAATATTCGTAGAAATTGTCCACTCTATTTCTCTCTACATTCGGGAAATTCCGTTTTTACAAGTGGATTCTCAGAGCCATTAACTTTACTGCAAGATGAATCATAATTATAGTTTTAAATCTGAAAAGTAATATTTATTTCTTTACAAAGTTAACAGTCGTACCTCTCATGTTACTTCATTTTTCAAAGGACTTCAAATTGGAGTAGCATGACTAGAACTTTTAATCATTTCTCACAAACGGAATCTGTAGTGGCATGCAGTAGCAAAACTCCTGCTAAACACAATCATACAAATGCTCTGAAAAACTGAAAATGTGTTTTGTTCCTTTGAGCATTTACTGAGCAGGTCCATTGCCTTGTTTCTTTACATCCTTCTTTGCCGTGAAGAGGCCCAAGCCACGAGGCCTCTTCCGCCTGACCAAGCAAATTTCGCTACTCTCGCCGTCTGTCAGAGAAAGGTATCGCTCGGGCGACGAAATAGGCGTTTTGAATTTTTCTCAGAGACATCATTTAGGCTTGAGGATCTTCTACATGCAGTAAATCTACAATATGGGACAACCGGCTTTACTGCCCCACTGAAGGTAGGGGTACGAAGAATTTTTTCGCTCTTAAAAATCCACGGTCTCGAACGGGTGTAAACCTGCGAACTTGGGTAGAAAAGTCCGATACGCTAACCGTTACACCGCCGAAAACGTGGTACGTATTATTACGTATTATTTTGAAGTTTTAATATAATAATAATAATAATAATAATAATAATAATAATAATAATAATAATAATAATCTATTACGTTGCTCATCGGCAATAATAATATGAAAGATATTACGCGGAGCAAACAGCAAATTGTCTGTTTACGATCGCTCTCGTTTTGAGAACAAATTTATCGCCGCGTGAATCCATCGTCGAGCAAACGCGAGAAATAAATGAACGAAAATTAAACTCGTGAATATCAATGATCCTTCCGAGTTATTGACACGAAATGAGAAAATGAATGGGGTGGAAGCTGCTGAATACAATCTCCCATCTGTGAGAGTATGGAACTGCGTTTTGTGAACACGGAAGAGGGGGTGGCGGGATGATGGTGAGGACAGGGGGGCGAGGGGAGGGCAGAAACGGCGCACAATGGGGCTGTCGACGCGAACGCCGCACGGTGGATTGAAGGGCGCAAAAAGCGGACAAAATTATTTTGGTTTTAATTTGCCTAATTTACACGATTGTAGTTCACGAACAGAAGAATGTTGAGAATTCTCTCTCTCTCTCTCTCTCTCTCTCTCTCTCTGTTTATGTCTTAGAATAAATGTTACAATCTTCTACAGCTTGTAAACGGTGTCGAATATTTCTAGGCAACTGAAAATCAGGTGAAAATGTCGTGTGTAACTTCGTTAAATGAAATGTCCCATTACATGTTTATTGAAAGTTTTGTGATGTTTTGTTGGAAAGTATTCATAGTTTGAAACGATCATCATGGGATTTGTTGGTAATCGTTGTGCAAAATTTCTGTTAGAATTTTTAAAGAAGATGCGAATAGAAATATATTTATTCCCTATTTGTTTATTATCACTTTCATCTATTTACTCTGTCATCACTCATTGTCTTCATGGCGTTAATTGAAGAGCATGGACGGAAAGCCTGAGAGCGACACATCAAAATTCCCATCTAGGCAGGTGGTCATCTAGGAATAGCTTATGTGGTACCGAAACGTGCCTCAGTTGTGTCAAGAACCAATGACCTCCAGGTCTACGAACCTCTAGTTAGAGATTTCACTTTTTTTGAAGCAAGACATTTTTGTCCGCTTTTCCCCCAATCCGCTTCATAGTCCACCGCCTCCGCAAAAATGTAAACGGCCCAGCGAAGGAGAGAGCGGGAGCGAGCTGAAAAGAAACCTGGGCATAATGAAAAATTCTTTGAGAAGGCAAGCGGGCGGAGGATTGATTTCATATTCAGGTCAGGGCGGGCCGAGCGGTCGTGGCTGGGGGAGGGGG